TCCTTTGGACAAGATGCGAAGGCGGCCTGGAATGAGGCCGCGATGGCGCTCAAAGGGCTGCGTCTCCAATCGGGCAGGTTCAATACAGAGCAGCTGCAAACGTACAAACGGAAGAGCAAAGGGTCAGGAAGCGAGCGCGTGGGGGGGGGAGGATGGTTAGGGGGCGCAGAAGGAGGCGCAGAAGGAGGCGCAGAAGGAGGCGCAGAAGGAGGCGCAGAAGGAGGCGCAGAAGGAGGCGCAGAAGGAGGCGCAGAAGGAGGCGCAGAAGGAGGCGCAGAAGGAGGCGCAGAAGGAGGCGCAGAAGGAGGCGCAGAAGGAGGGAAAGGAAGGAAGGAAGGAAGGAAGGGAGATTCACGTCAATGTGAGCGTGGTTGTGACACACAAACACACACACACGCACACACACATGATGACAAACGGAGCAGAAAACAATACACGCGAATCTCACCTCATCTTGCTCTGGAGCTTCGCTGGACGTTTGAGGGGACACCTCCATGTATGCGGTTGTGCGTGTCAATAGGAGCGGAAGTTGGAGCGGCTGTGGATGCAACAGAAGGGGGCAGGAAGGAGGCAGGAACCAACAGCAGCAGTTTGGTTGTTGACGTTGAGAGTGATGGCTTGTTGCTTGTTTGGAGGCGGAAATGCGCCAAGGAAGCAAGAGGGGAAATGCAAACAGAAAGCCATCGACAACTGTGATGACTCATCAAATACCAGTTTGTGCTGTCGCAACAAAGAATCTTCGACGGTGTTGCAATCCAACCAATCCAACATGGCGGCTTTGAGGAGCGTGGTTGTTCGAACAACAACAGCGGCAGCGTGCGGTGCCCGTGCTGCCACGACGGCAGTGGTGCCAGCGGTGACAGCGGTTGGAGGCCGGCGCTTCATGTCGGAGCAACACCATCGCCCAGAGCCATCCATGGCAGACCGCCTGGATGCGCTGGGCACGCGCCGCATCTTCACGGAGGAACACGACATGATGCGCGAGATGGCCCGCAAGTTCTTCCAGGAACGCATCGCCCCACACCACGACGCGTGGGAGAAGGAGGGCATGGTTTCCCGGGACGCATGGACCGAAGCTGGAGAGCTTGGCCTCCTCGGAAGTGAGTTCTTTTGTGTTTTGGGGAAGTGGAGGGAACAGCACGTGTTGTTGGTTGTAGTGGAACGGGACCCACAACACCAAAGTCCGCACACACACACACACCTACACACACATACACACATACACATACACACACATGCACATACACACACATGCATACACACATATACACACACATACACATACACACACCTACACCCACATACACACACCTACACACATATGCATACACACATATGCATACACACACATGCACGCAGCGATGTGGGGAAGCTTAAAGAGTCGTTTTGGTCTCATGTCGCCTGCCCTTGTTATGCTTGCACTTCTCTTGGCTCTTTTCTCACACTTCCTTCGACCCATTCCTCTGCAGTCACCATTCCCGAGGAATACGGTGGACCAGGCGCCGACGTGCAGAGCGCCGCCGTCATGTGGGAGGTGCGTGTGGTCGTGTTTTGGTCGAGTTGAATGATAGCTCGGTTGGGTTATCCGCTGGGGCCCAAATGCATGTCCATTGTTCCACAAACCTTCCCATTGCTCCACACGCCTTCACATTTCGCCCAGCGTCACCATCACAATGTCCAAGTAACCTCCTCACCCCTGTGTTCTCGCTGTGTTGTGCTGAACAGGAGCAAGCGTACGCTGGTCTCTTTGGGCCCGGGTACGCCATCCATTCCGGTGAGCAATCTTGCCTTGCACAGCCGACCGCTGGCCCTGCTGCGGTTTGCTTGCTTCTGTCTGCTTGTTGCCTGCAATCTGCTGGCGTTTTGCAATGGGCGCGTGCCAATTGGCGCGGCTCCTCAGCACCTTGCTGACACCCTCATCCATCGCTGTTGCTGCATTCGGCCTGACGCCGCTTGCCTGCGCTCATCGCAATCGCAGACATTGTTCTGCCATACATCCACCACTATGGCACGGAGGAACAGGTTCGTGGGTGCGTGCTGTGGTGTGCGCAGGGGCTGGCGCTGGTGTGCATTCGCACCGCTTGCACAAATCCTCACAAACCATACGTATGCGCACGTGCGTGTTTTGTTTTGCACGCTGCGCTGTGTTTGCTCTTGAGTGTAGAAGCAGAAGTACCTTCCTGACGCCTGTGCTGGCAAGTGCATCACTGCCATTGCCATGACTGAACCCGGTGCCGGCAGCGACCTTCAGGTAGAGCTGCAGGGGGGAGGGGAAGGACACGCGTGTGAGGTGATGGTGACGTGATCGCTCGCTTAATCACTCGCGTACTCGCTGGCTTCCTGTTGTTGTGTGTCTCCTTGTGTGCTGCGTCTTCTCGTGGTGCCTCTCTTTCTTTTGTGTAATATATCGTTGCGCTAGCCATCCCCTGGTCGCGTGTTGCTCTCCTAATGCACGCCTTGCTCCGTTGCTCACGACCACCCCCCCCCCACCTCACCTCACCTCACCGCTGGTCAGGGTGTGTCGACCACCGCTATCAAGGACGGTGACGAGTGGGTGCTCAACGGCTCCAAGGTCTTCATCAGCAACGGACAGGTCAGTCCCACCCCACACGCGCAACAACGCCTTGGTCCTGGTCGTGTGCAGTGAGTGCTGCAGCATTGGGTCGACGGCTTTCTGCAACGCTCACGTGTGCGCCGGCACTGCGTGCAACCCACAGCTCTCGGACGCCGTCGTCGTCGTCGCCAAGACAGACCTGGAGGCCAAGCGCGTACGTGGCAGTGCACATTACCTCACGTGTAACAAACATTCTTCCTGCGAGAAACACCAAAACGTTGTTTGATACCTGAAGCATGCAAACACACGAACACATACCTGAAGCATGCAAACACACGCACACATACCTGAAGCATGCAAACACACGCACACATACCTGAAGCATGCAAACACACATACACACATACACACATGCGTGCATCCTCGTGCGTTAATTACTGCTGCTTGCCTCGCTAAATCGTGTTTTGCTGGTTGCTCGGTAGGCGGCGCACGGCCTCAGTCTCTTCATTGTGGACGCAGGCACTCCCGGCTTCAGCAAGGGCAAGAACCTGCACAAGATGGGGCTCAAGGCACAGGTGGGTTGTGTGTTTGCTTGCTTGCTTGCTTGCTTGCTTGCTTGCTTGCTTGCTTGCTTGCTTGCTTGCTTGCTTGCTTGCTTGCTTGCTTGCTTGCTTGCTTGGTTCAAGTCATTCTCTTTTGCCCGCACCACATGCTCTTCACCGCCATGGCCATTTTGTTGCGTGTGCAGGACACGAGCGAGCTGTTCTTCGAGGACTGCCGCGTGCCGGAGTCTGCGCTGCTCGGCCAACTCAACAAGGGCTTCTACCACCTCATGACGGAGCTGCCACAGGAGCGCCTGCTGCTCGGCGTCATGGCAGGTCCGAGCCCTCACATGTCGCGTCACGGGATGGAGGGGCGGTGGTGACTTCTTCTTGTTGTTGTTGTTTGTTGTTGTTGTTGGTGGTGGTGGTGGTGGTGGGGATGTTTTGCTTGCCTCCACTGCTGCCCCTGCTGCTGGTGTGTGCGTGCCGCGTCACTGGCCCGCAGCTCCGCCAGCTTGGCATTGCGCGCCTGCTTTCCTCCATGTGGCATCAGAACGCGTGGGGCTGCCTCAGCTCACACCATGACATGCGTCGGCGCGCATCCCCACACGCCTTTCCCCCTGCTGCTGTTCTTGTGACAGTTGCCCATGCTGAGGCGTGCTATGAGTGGACTCGCGAGTACATCAACGAGCGCAAGGCCTTCTCTGGTGCGACGTCAATGTGTCGGTTCCGTTGTTGTTCAGTGGAGTCCAAATGTGTTCGGGCAACTGCAATGGGCGCGAGTGTGAAGATGTTGTCACCGACGACTAACGCCCATGCCCCTCTGGTGCAGGCACCCTCGCCAACCTGCAGACTGTTCGCCACAAGATGGCCGAGCTCAAGACGGACATTGCCGTCTGCCGCGCCTTTGCTGACCAGTGCATCCTCCTCCACAGCGTATGTGTGTGTGTGTGTGTGTGTGTGTGTGTGTCGTGTGTGCATTTGTGTGTGTGTGTGTGTGTGCTTGTGACTGCTGCCCGTAGTGGAGAGGGCTTCCACCCTTATTGTCATCCACCCTTATTGTCATCCAACCTCACGTTTGTATCACACCGTGTGCGCTCGTCTGCAGGAGGGCCGCCTGAACACCGAGATGGCTTCCATGGTCAAGTACTGGTGCACAGACCTCGAGTCCAGGGTGCGTGCGTGTGTGTGTGTGGGTGTGTGTGGGTGTGTGTGGGTGTGTGTCTGTGTCTGTGTCTGTGTCTGTGTGTCTGTGTGTGTTTGCCTGTGTCTTTGTCTCTGTCTTTGTCTCTGTCTTTGTCTCTGTCTCTGTGTCTGTGTCTATGTATGTGTATGTGTTTGCGTGTTGGTCGCTTGTTTCGCGAAAGTGTCGACTCGTTCGTCAATGACTTTGGGTTGACTACATCCCCACCCCCACCCCCCGACAGGCTTGTGCCATATCAATTGTCATTTTGTCTGACATGTGTGCGTGCGTCCGTGTTTCTCATCCACTCCTCAGCTCGTTTGTGCTTGCATCTGCTCACCACACGCTGTGTTTGCCTCGCTCTCCCCCACTTCAGGTTGCTGATGCCTGTGTCCAGCTCCACGGCGGTTACGGCTACATGTGGTACGTCGATTGTAAAGAGATGAGGAACAGATGGCCGTAGCATCGTTGCTTGTTGGTTTCAGATAATGTGTTGTTGTACCCACCCACTCACTCGCATGCATGCATGCATGCTCGCGCTGGTCGGCTTTGCAGGGAGTACCCCGTGTGCCGCGCCTACGTGGACGCACGTGTCCAGCGCATCTACGGCGGCGCCAACGAAATCATGAAGGAGCTCATCTCCCGCAGCGTCTAAGCGGCCCAGCTCCTGCTCCTGCTCCTGCCCCTGTCCCTTGCACGTGCACTGCTGGCGACCTTGCCTCGCTTTGCTTTGTAGAGTGCCACATTAGAACCTTTTGAAGGGTGGAATCGACCACAACAGCACAAAGGGAAGGGGGAGGGCGTGTGCACTACTCGTGCACGTGAATGCGCCCTCAAGCACACGCACGCGCACACACGCGCACACACAGACACACACACGGTGGAGAACTGCTTGGACTCCTGTCGCCTTGAGAGTTGACACATCGAGGACTTTGGTTGCTTGCAGGGAGCACACTGGACAGCCTGCCACCGGTCGCGACGTTGGTGGTTCGGTGTGCGTGTGTGTGTGTGTGTGTGTGTGTGTGTGTGCATGTATGTGTGTGTGTGTGAAGCAAAGCAACGCAAAAGACAAGCAACAAGAGAGAAACAAGAGGGAGGGAGATGAGCCAACACAGGCCACCACCTCTTCACCCCAAGTCGAAGCAAGCAAGTCAGCTCAGCAAGCAAAGAAGAAGAAGAACAAGAAGTACACCGAACCAAGCCAAACTAAGCCAAGAGAGGAGAGGGAAGTGAATGAGAGACAGCATCAACCACAGCTACAGCAACCACAGCAACCCAAAAAAAAAAAAAAAAAAGAGAGCAACATCACCCGTGATTCCCGCCTGGTCACCCACGGCAGTACTGAACGGGCCCAAACGGTCTTAGCTTCCGCGATCGGACGAGAGCGGGCGTGATCCCGTTGGTATGAACGTTGCCGGCAGAGAAGACAGACATGCCATTTATCAACGCAGAGCCAGCAAGCAAACAAGCAAGAAGAGGAAAACCGCACACACACCAAAAACCAGCAGCAGCAAGCAGAACCGAGCAAACAACCGATGCTGCACTGCTTTCAAACCAACCAACCCACCAATCCACTTGCCGTTGCTTGCTTCATTCTTCTTCTGCGCAGCAGCTGGTGTGTGTGTGATGGTGATGGTGGTGGGAATGGTGATGGTGATCATGGTCGTCGTCGTCGCTGCTGACAGGCAGGTGAGGTGATGTGAGGTGAAGTGTGTGTGAGGCGGGGTGAGATGATGTGGGGATGTGTCATTGGTTCGTGCCCACACACACACACGCACACATTGGTGGTTGTGCGTGCCACGTTCCTTCCTTCCTTCCTTCCTTCCTTCCCTTCGTCGTCCTCGCTGACGCACACACACACACGCACACATGCAGGGAGGGTGTGCACACCGTCTCTCCCCTTCTCCTCCCTTTCTCCCTTTCATCCATCCATCCTTCCATCGTTGTCCATTTCCTTCTCCTGTGATGAACTACGCACAGGCACAACCAACCAACCAACCAACCAACCAACGGCCACATGAATGACCCATCCATCGACAGGTGAGGGTGAGATTGAGTGCACCCACTTCTTCCTCCCACTCCGTGCTCCTCCTCTTCTCCTTCTCCTCCTTGCACACTGCGCACAGCAATAACAACCACCACCATCAACAACAACAACACAGCGTACGCTGTCATCGTGCACACACACACACACAGGTGGACCACCATCAATCCATCCTCGCATATGGATCACAATTAACACACACCACTGCGTGTGGCACACAAATGCACTCACACACACTCACACACACACACACTTGTTCACCGTTGTGTGGTGACAGAACAACTGCCATCAGCCGCCATCATGCAGCGGCCCTGAGAATGGATCATTCAACCTCTTCACCAGTGAGCAGCACACACACGACAGTGGGGGAAATGACATCAACCAACATCACAGCCAATGTATGTGTGTGTGTGTGTGTGTGCACGGGGTTGCGTTCCTTCTCATCCTCCTCCTCCTTTCTCCTCCTTCTGTCTGTGACATTCTGCTCACTGCTGCCGTTGCTTGCTTGTTTGTGGTGGTGCGTGCAGATGGATGTATTCCATCATCAGCAGGAGCAGCAGCAGCAGCAGCAGCAGCAGGTGCTGGCTGATGCGTGAGGCAGTGGGCGACCCCCACCAACCAACAAATGACTACATGCTGACGGATGAATGGTGATCAAACCACTGCATCACCCAGACAGGTGTGTGTGTGTATGTGTTTGTGTGTGTGTGTGTGTCTATGTGTGTGTTCTCTTCACCCACCCACTCACACGCCATCATCACCACCTCTCATTTTCTTGTGTCGTTGCTCACATCCTTCCATTCCCACTCTCAACACCACTATCATCACCACCCTCCACACGTGCTCGTTTCCCCTTCCTTCTTTCTGCTGTCGCCACACATAGGGCCCTTGAGCCAGCAGCTGTCACCCCTTCCCCCTCCACCAACCAACTCCGCTCTGGTGGGATGAACAGACGGCGCTGCCATGCGATGACCATCCAGCCACGCCTGTGCGATTGCGGAAGCAGCCACACCAACTCACACCACAACACAAACAAGCAAGCGATGAGCAACGTGAGTGCATCACTGCACGTATGTGTGCATGCTGCGCACCGCACCAGTGTGCTGTGGTTGTGGTCGCTGTCTCTGCTGTTCCTGTCTCCCCTTGTTGTCCCACACCAACGTGTACATGTGTGTGGTGCGGCTGCCTGCTTTGCTCTGCTTAATGCGCTGTCTCATTCTTCGTTCTCACACACAACCGCATGCACACCTGCACATTCTCCACCTTGCAGTCGCTGTTTGTCTTCCCCTCTTTCTCGCCCTCCCTGACGGCCATCACAACAACAACAACAGCAGCAGCAGCCAACACACCCTCCACCGCCGATGCAGCAGCAGCAGAGAATGCACCACCTCCACCACTTGCAGCTGAACACATCCCTCCGACCAACCAACCAGGCAACCAACCAACCCATCGCCCGCTGCTGCTGGCAGAAGCTGGCTGTTTGCTGCTGGGGGAACAGGTGGCGACAGCACAAGTTGCGTTTTCCGCTGGAAGCGGCAGCAGCAGCAGAGGTGAGGGCGAGAAGAGAGGGAAAGGAGGAGACACGTATGTTGGCTGGGTGGATGGATGGGATGAGGTGGGGTGGGGGATGCTGGGTGACATGAGTGTGGTGTGGTGTGGCTGGCTGGCTGGCTGATGACAGAGGACGATGGTGTGTGGTGGTGTGAGGAAGAGGGATGGATGGATGGATGGGGTGCAGCATGTCTTGTTCCTTACCTTTTGTTTCTGTTGTCTCCCTCTTCCCTTTCTTCTCCTTCACACGCATGCATGCACAGCATTAGCAGCAGTGGCAGCAGCGGTGTAGCTGCGCACATATCCATGCCCCCTACCTTCCCACTCAATCACTCACCATGCTGGTGCTCGCACACAAACACACTTACAGGCGATGCGCACAATCAGCAGGATGAGGGAAATGTCGAGGATACTTGCCACGCGTGCCAGGTGCACTCGCCTCACACATGGTATGTGGGTGGTGATGAGTGGTTGGTTGGTTGTGTGATGGGCTGGCGGTGGTGATGGTGATGTGGTGAAGCGAACACGAGGGAAGGGGGTTGATGGGGGATGATGGTCACACACATACACACACGCACGCACACACACACACGTGGTGCGTGTGACGTCAATCACACTTCTTGCTGTGCTGACGTGATGACTTTCTCTGTGCCTGTTGTGTTCTATTCCCATTCACATTCCCTGCAACCACGCACACACACAGGTGGTGAGGTACCAGCACACATCAGGATGTTGATGGAAGTGGGCTCGCATGCCGACTGCTGCTGCTGCAACTTCCCCAATTCGGCTGCCGCTGCTGTGCTCATGCAGTATTCCTACATGTGAGCAAGGTGAGCCCATCATGGATGCTTTGGTTGGCACATGGTGCATGTGTTGGTGCTGCTGCTCTGGGTGTGCTTGTTGTTGCTGCTGCTGTATCTCGTGCAGCAGTGTCGCTGTGCAGCTCACATGCCATGTGTGTGTGCATGTGGCTGCAAGGGGGGCGACTGCCTGAGGATCGTTGGAGGTGGATGGGCGGTGCACACATGATGGATTGGGAGGAGCAGCTGTGGACACACACACACATCCATGGTCGTGGTGGGCACATCGAACCACAGCGACGCAGTCATGTGCAGGTGTGTGTGTGTGTGTGTGTGTGTGTGTGTGTGTGTGTGTGTGTGTGTGTGTGGTGAGGGCGGCGAGGAGAAGGAAGCAGAGGAGGGAGCAGGAAGGTGAACGCGTCTGCTGTGCTCACATGCCATACCTGTGTGTTGTGTGTGATGATGTCGTTGTGTCTTTTCGTTGTGTGTGTTGGTTGTATGGGCACCAGGGCCACATCAGAGGAAGGAAAGGAAGCCGCCATGAACGACACATCGACATCAATCCTTCCCATTTCTCTCTCCTTTCTTTCTCTTCCACCTCAGCTCGGCCGTCACCGTCATAACCATCACCATCATCGACTGCACAGCCGCCATCACACTCCGGCCGACACCAGCCCCAATCTGGCGTGATGCAGACATTGCACATGTCACTCGCTCTGACGAAGAGGTGAGCAATGTGTGTGTGTGTGTGTGTGTGTGTGTGTGTGTGTGTGTGTGTGTGTGTGTCGTGGTGGTGAGTGGGGACAACATGTGTGCGTGTGGTTGTGTGTCAGTGTGGATGGTTGAAATGGGGCTGGCGTGGGGTTGATGATGCTTCGCTGTCAACCTCACTCCCTCCATTCTCCCCCTTCTTGTGTCTGTGCACACGCATTTCACAGCGTTGAGGAGGCGCGTGTCTGTCTGTGTGTGTGTGTGTGTGTGTGTGTGTGTGTGTGTGTGTGTGTGTGTGTGTGTGTGTGTGTGTGTGTGTGTGTGTGCATCAAGGGGTCTTCCTGGCCCATCGTGCACCACGGCGTCTTTCAGCACACTGTGTGTTTGCTGGTGCGCAACACACTGCTGTTTTGCTCAAGGCGCCCCCTCGACACGTGCCTGTGCAAGGTTAGCGCATCATCTCACGCACGCAGCTGGGTGTTCAGCAAAGAGGGCGGGCGGGGTCTGTCTTCTAACTATGCGGATCTCCGGCATCCTTCTGCCTTCATCCAGACCGCA